CAAGTAGTTGGCCATACGCTGCAGGTTGTAGCGGGCGAGGATCTGCTGGTAGTAGTAGTAGAAGGCCTCTCCGCGCATCTGGCAGGTGGTGATGCCGTACTTCTCGCAGTTGAGCCAGAAGGGCATGTAGAGGTGGGCGTAGGCGTGGTAGGCGTTGACGCCGACATCCTCGGTGAAGTAGCCCAGGAGCTGCTCGGGGTTGATGATCTCGCCACCGGTCCAGTTGGTCATCTTGACGTAGTTGATCTGGCCCTGCATCTTGGCGCTCATGAACTCCATGATGTCGCCGGAGTTGAGGTACAGCTGGGGAGCGACTTCGTACAGGGGAGGGAGCACCAGGCCGGCGCAGTCGTCACGGTGCACGACGGCAACGGAGAAGGCGTAGGCGAACTGGGACTCGTTGACGTTGTCGCGGGCCCAGGCGGCGGTCTTGATGAAGGTCTCGAAGTCCTTGGCGAAGTAGAACAGGTCGAACAGGGCGACCACCTCCTTCAGCTGGGAGTCGTTGTACACGTGGAAGATCTCGCCGCGGGGCAGGGTACCCTGCTGCCACATGTTGACGAAGTTCTTGACGACGTACTGGTTGGCGTAACGGTCAGCGATCTGCATGGGGTTCCAGTTCTGGGCCAGGGCGACGAGTTCGGGGTACATGTTCTTCTGGCCGACGTTCCTCAGCAGCTGCAGCACCACCTTCTGGCGTTGGGCAACATCCTGTCCGCCTGCAGCAAAGGACACAGCCGTTAGAAAACATGCGTGTAAACACAAGCGTTAGCAAAGGACAGTCGTTAGAAAACAAGTGTAAACACTCCCGTTGTGCTGAACACCGAGTCGCGGCCCGGGGCCCGGGTCGGCTACTTACTGATGTGGACGTTGTCCGTGGCGCCGGTGCGCACGTTGGGGATGTGCAGAGCGGCTGCCACCGCCAGGGTGGCGAGGAGGGCGACGGTTACCTTGTACATTGTGAGTGCAAGGAAGACTTGACCGGGAACTGGTGCCGAACCCAACGCCGACCGGCCCTTTTATACCGGTGCCCGGTCTCGGCTTTGCGATAACCGCCCTCCAACCGAGTGGTAACTTTCGTTTTATTTTCGGTCTTCAGTTGATATTGCTTCGGTTCAAACCCAACCGATAGCGCATGATCCCCTGTTCTCGCGCCCTTATCCGCGGCCCACCCGAGCGGCGCTCTCTCTCGCACTCACCGTGTGGGCCACGCGGGCGACAGGGACAGGACGCTGTTGACATTCTGAACGCCCCTCAAAATCGCCTGTTGACATATCTCCGCAGATTTGGGCTGCTATGCGCGGATCTTGAGCCCCGCCACTGGACCTCGTACAGTACGTGACGAGAAAAGTCGAGAAAAGCCTAATCTGAGCATATCAATGGTTTTATTTGTAAGTGGTGTAATAGCACATGCAAGCAGTGTTGTAACATACTCTGTAAATCGCCAAACGGGCATAGCGCGCACTACATGTTGGCTAAAACAAAACCTCGGTAGAGAGCGTGACTTTGATCATTTTTTCCGTCACAAGCTGAGATTATCGACGTGGCTTAACGGATTTAATAAGTGTGCTTAATGATTCATTTTCTTATTCACATGTTTCTTATTGCAACAGTAAGGATCTGTTGTTGCTGCTCGAAAATGTTGAAAATGAGTGGTCGCATGCATCGGGATCGGGGGATTGGGTCGGGGTCGGGCGTCGGGCCCGTGGATTGTCGGCACTTCGCAGAGCGCAACAATCAAACAGGCAAACAGTCGCCCTCCCCAGTCTTCCTCCAGTAGCCCCCCACCCCCATGCCTCCCTCCCCTCCCCTCGCCCTCGTCTCGACCCGTCTCGCAACCGTTGAACTCTGCTCTACCGTTCGTCCTGCGCCAGGTCGCTGTCAAGATGAACAAGATCGCAACACCTTACCTGCAGCAACCGCGTAGGACATGGACTGAGTTAAATAGCTCCAGCACCACCGGACTTCAGCGACACCATCAGCCACCGCCGCCACAGCAGCAGCAGCAACAACAGCAACAACAACAACGGCAGCAGCAACAACAACAGAGCACGGGACGCCCCTCTGACAGGATGCCCGTCTCCAGGTGAGTGTCTAACATCCTGTAAGAGCCACCCCGACCGCGCTCGGTCCCGGCAGCGTGTGTGCAGGTGACGGTTCGTTTGTTTACACGCAGGTGGCCCTTTAAACAGCGTTCAAGGGTTAAATGTGAGACATAACCTATCGCAATCTTAATCCGTCAGCTGATGAGGATCTTGACGTATAGGGTGATTGTATCTGTGCGTGTGTGTTGGGGTTGCAGTGCCGGCGCGGCCCCTCGCACCGTGGTGGTCGGCGACATGGTGGTGGCGGACGACTCGGACACCGAGGGGGACGTCATCGAGGAGGAGGTGGACGACGAATCGGACGAGGACAAGCCCAAAGTGCTGCGCGTCATCACGAGGAGGCCCGCGCGGACAGCGGTCGCGGCCGGGGGTGAGTATGGAAGGGGCACTCAGCTGTCAACGGCATAATCTTTGGCCAAGCGCACTACAGTGTGTACGTGTGTGCTGTTGAGGGGTTGCAGCCCTAACTCTTTTTCCCCGCCCTCCGCAGAGCCCGCTTGGCACGCGCTACTCCGGCGCACGCCCAGCTCGCGCACGGCCTCCATCGCCAGGACGCCGCCGAGGGCGCCGCCGCGCCCGAGCCAGCAGCAGGGCGTCGTGTCGCCCAACAGCCCCCAGGCCAGCTGCTCCCCCAGGACACGACCCGTGCAACACCGACCTGCGCAGCTCTACACGACTCCGTCCAGGATCATCCGGACCGACGGTGCCCCCAAGCCCGGCGTCAACGTGCCCGCCAAGGTAAGAGCATGTCATGGCCGCCCCAGGTGACACCACAGCCGCACTGGCTCTCTCTGACTCTCTTCGACGCGCAGGTGCTGGTGCCCCGGAACCGCCTTCTGTTCCCCCTACTCGCCCGCGGTGGCCGCGTGCTGCCCGCCAATTCGTCCAGGATGCCCATGGGGATGGCCTTCCGTCGCCAGGACGCCGGAGACGGCCCTCAGGTGAGCTCGACGGCAAGAGGTCGTTTTCTCGCTAGCACGAGTAGGGTCCTAACACTGCGTCTGTGACAGGTCGGAGTGGTGCGGCGCGTCCTGGTGTCCGCTGTGGGACCCTTGTCGCCGGCGGAGAGTGCGGTGCTGGACGGAGTGCTCGACATGCTCGAAGAACACCAGGCTCGGTACGGAGGCATCAGGGCCTACATGGACAAGTACGGCGTGACGCCGATGGACACCTTCCCCGACACTTCCCCCTGATGGTGTCAGTACTGCCCCCACCCCTTCCCTGTACCTGATACCGTGGTGACCTCTTCGCATTGACTCGAGCGGCTCGCCATGATAAGTTGCCATCAACTGTACTTGCATGATAAATAGATCATTGTTAGGAATCCTGCATGTATAGGACTATGCAGTTATACAATTTGCATCCGATGTTGAGTATAAAGTACTCAAACAAAACTCATTTAATTAATTTTCACTATTTATTCAGAT